GTAATTAAGGCAGAAGGGTTGCTATATCCATAGTACCTAAGCAAGGGTTTACAGCTCCTAGTTTCCGGATCAATTTAAAAAATGTACAACTTAATAAAGAATATTCTCTTGCAAGAACAACACAAAACATTTTATGAAATACGTGAGTGTATTCAACATCTAAGAATGGTTCACTATTACACAGCTGTGAAAGAATCGAAGAACGCAACAGCAATGACAAACAACTGTTCAACATCTGAGGAAGATTGTGTACGAGTACAGACAACAGATTTTGTACTTTAGTAAAATTTCATTGTGGTTTGAATTACCGAAACAGTGCGTGGTGAGTCGCTAGTTTGACTTCTAGGTTACTTACTTTTTACTTTTACTTTTTCCTTCCACGTATGCCGCTAAGCGTTGTGGGGAGATGCAAGTTCATGTCGTAAGCAAGGCGGGCAGCATCTGATGTTCTGAGGCCATGCTTTTGGCAGGTTTCGGAGACCCCGTCAATCCACAGTTTCCTTGGTCTTCCTCTTGCCTTATATCCTGAGCTTCTTTGGTTGAAAATTTGTGATGTTATTTGATCATTTTTCATCCTGGTTAGATGTCCAAACCATTTCATTCTTTGATGTTCTATGTAGTCTAAACATGGTGTAGTTTTGACAGTGTTTCTAATGTCTATATTCTTTATCCTGTCTAGTCTGGTCTTATTCGCTGCTTTTCTTAGACATTTCATTTCACAGGCTTCTATTTTTCTTTCGTGGGTCTTGTTGATTGTCCATGTCTGGCACTGGTAGCAGAGTGTTGAAATGAAGATGGTGTTTATCAACTTCTAGGTTTATGTCTTGAAATAAAAGCATAAATTTTGTGTTTTGAAACAACCGTATTAGAATATGTTCAAGGAAGTAAAGGTGGCGCCTAATACGACTTCATCTTTCGAATAAAAAAAAGCTTCCCAGACTGCTTTTTTTCCGTGTATTATTCATGAAGGCATTATTATCATCATCATCCATTTGTGCCACTATATGTCACATATGCCCCTAATCTGTAAGCATATTTTGGATCTTCTCTTCAGGCTTTGCCGGTGTAGTGAGTAATGAATAGGCAGACAGACTGGTCGGATCTGCACCACTGGGTGGTGAATTAAAACATGACAAGGCAGATGTTGTCAATGCCCTTTGAGAACAAGCAACGGAATCAGTAGAGAAAGAAGATTATTATGGTCTGGAGAGAATGAGGCACCAGGGTGTAACCAGATTGTCTGGCCGGCTCACGACACTCAGAGGAAAGGCAAGACGGACATATAACCAAAGTGTGACGGGTACCCTCAGTATTGGACCTTTACGCTGGCTGCTGAGGGTGGGGACGGAGCGCGCACTGGAATGCCCTGAGTGCTGTGATGTCAATTCTTGACTCAACTCAACATATACTCCTAATCTATTCTTGCATCCCGTTCATCTTTGCAATCAGTTCAATATCATGGGTGGAATCCTGTGTAGCACTGTTGGCCTCTCTCATCACTTTTCGCCTGAAAGTTTCTGATTCAGTGCCTGTTCAATGATTCTCTGCTATCAAAGTGAAGCACACGTTTCCACGCCTTCAAGCTCTATAGGGCTAGACTCAGACTCTATAGACAAACGCACTAAGTGTGCCAGGTGGCCATCATCAAACCGGTCGCCTTTACTTCCCATGAATATTTATCTGGTACCCACTCAATGCTGAGTCGATATGGGAGCCAATGTGATTTTTTGAAGTCAGGCTTTGTCGGGACTCGAACCCAGGACCTCTTGATCCACAGGCAAGCGTCTAACCGCTACACCATGGTAGCTCGCTTATTCAATAAGTGCCAATTGATTTAAACAAATATGGGCAGCGACGATGTTGGAATAGGTCTTTTACATTCTGATAAAACAACGAAGAGTATCATGTCTCCACTAATTGTTACTACACGGTAATTAATTTTAGGCAGGTTAGTTGATGTGTCCTTTCAGCTGTTATCTGCGATATTTACGGTTCATCACTCACAGAGGGGTGGGCGAGGAGCAACCTTGGTGTAGAAGGTCGTGGGTTCAAGTTCAGACGGAGCCAGGATTTTTTTTTTTTTTCTCTAGGTCAACCTAGTCTTTAGTGGCTGCCAGTTATTGCCCCAGGAAGTAAATATGGCCACACAATCACATGACTGAGCACCGTTTGATCTATAAAACATAGGTCTAGCCCAATATACCCAAATAGTCTCAAAGCGTGGAAAAGGATCCTTTACCTAACATTTACGACAAACCTTTTCAAAAGATTGGTAGATGTAGGTTATGTAATTTGTACCCTACCAGGAAATCACACAAAGCGATAAATACCAGGTGACACAAAGTGCCATCATGCGGATGAGGATCACCCATGGAGAGGTCCGAGAAACCCAGTTCAGGGGTTAGGCTATATTTTTGGCCCGGCTATATTCAGGATCCCCGGCATAAGTCAGGATGGTGCTTCAAATAACGAAAAATGTTATCCCACATGGTGCGGCAAAATATAAGTGATTGGCAGACATTTCCATTCAACTTTTATCGGCGACATTTACAGTTCATTACTCACGGGGGGGGGGGGGGGGGGGAACTGTGTGGTCTCGAGGCATGGTGTTCGCCTCGAGTGCTACAGGTTCCGGGTTAAATCCCCGATAAGGGCTGGGATTTTTCCACATGGACCTGGACTTCTAGTAATTCCCCCTGTTCTCTGGGTAGTGAGATAGGACGCCCGTGTGCATGGCTGCGATCGTAAAAAAATTCTAAAGCAGTTGGAAATCGAAAAGAATAGCATAACCGTGCTGCCCAGGCACATTTTCAAGTTAAAAATCTACATAAAGTATTTCATGATTCTTGCCGGTGCTACAGAGTCTGTGCACTGTGCTGAGCTTCTTCGGACTCAGACTTGAGTTAAAAGAAGAATGGAGCACTAATGAGTTCTACCCGTTGGCCATGATGTTGATCCGTTGTTCAAACCTCAAACCTTATACACACAAATGGATGCTTGTAGAGAGTGCTGTAGTAGTGCTTGCTGTCAAAAGCGATTTAGCATCTGCTAGTAGTACTACCCTGTAGTAGTGGAGGCTTTAGTGCTAGTGGTAATGGTGGCAGTCGTGGTAGTGGAAGTGGTGGCTCTAGTAGTAGTGGTGATGGTAGTAGTAGTGGTAGTGGGAGTGGTGTCTGTAGTAGTAGTGGTTATGGCAGTAGTACTGGAGGCTTTAGTGTTAGTGGTAATGGTAGTAGTTGTGGTGGTAGTGGAGCGAGTATATGAGGTCAAGGAGAAAAGTTCGGGTTCTCTGTTAACATCCTGGCAAATGATTTTGCTGTAGGCATCCGTTTGTGTGACGTATTTGAACCTATTACGCGTGTGTTTCTTTGGGTTTAAGTGTGTGTCCATGTTGTGTACGTCTGTAAATGTGTTTGCGTGTGGGTGTGTCTGACTCTGTGTGCGTGTGTGTGTGTCTGCGTGTGTGTGTCTTTGTATGTGGTGTGTGAGTGTGTCCCCATGTTTGTCTGCGTGTGAGTATGTGTGTCTCTGTGTGTACATCTGTCTGTGTTTGGGTGTGTCTGTGCGTGTGTGTATGTGGATGTATGTGCGTTTGGGTTATCTGTATGTGTGTGTTTGTATGAATGATCTATCTACCTATTTATGGTTAGGTTTACGTAAATCTCCTGAAACAAAGTAGGTCACTTTGCAATCACATGTTACGGGTGTGTGCTGCTCTGTTGTTTTTTTCTTTTGTGTTTTGCATTTAAGTTTTCATTCAGAGAAAGAGAATGGATGAGACATAGGTTGCAGCAATCTTTAGGGGAGTTGTGTTAAGACCAGTTGGTCCATGTTTTTGGAGCGATAAAAGCGCTGGCGTGCTGAAAAATACAACTCAAAATCAATATCACAAAACACCCCGTAATCTCGTGCGAAGGGCACACGGCTCAGGAACTACCAATCGAAAGTAACCTAGAGTGTATATGGGCAGGGCGTAGGGAGATCAACATTACTTTTAATCTATCTATCTATCTATCTATCTATCTATCTATCTATCTATCTATCTATCTATCTATCTATCTATCTATCTATCTATCTATCTATCTATCTATCTATCTATCTATCTATCTATCTATCTATCTATCTATCTATCTATCTATCTATCTATCTATCTATCTATCTATCTATCTATCTATCTATCTATCTATCTATCTATCTATCTATCTATCTATCTATCTATCTATCTATCTATCTATCTATCTATCTATCTATCTATCTATCTATCTATCTATCTATCTATCTATCTATCTATCTATCTATCTATCTATCTATCTATCTATCTAATCTATCTATCTATCTATCTATCTATCTATCTATCTATCTATCTATCTATCTATCTATCTATCTATCTATCTATCTATCTATCTATCTATCTATCTATCTATCTATCTATCTATCTATCTATCTATCTATCTATCTATCTATCTATCTATCTATCTATCTATCTGTCTATCTGTCTCTGTCTGTCTGTCTGTCTGTCTGTCTGTCTGTCTGTCTGTCTGTCTGTCTGTCTGTCTGTCTGTCTGTCTGTCTGTCTGTCTGTCTGTCTGTCTGTCTGTCTGTCTGTCTGTCTGTCTGTCTGTCTGTCTGTCTGTCTGTCTGTCTGTCTGTCTGTCTGTCTGTCTGTCTGTCTGTCTGTCTGTCTGTCTGTCTGTCCGTCCGTCCGTCCGTCCGTCCGTCCGTCCGTCCGTCCGTCCGTCCGTCCGTCCGTCCGTCCGTCCGTCCGTCCGTCCGTCCGTCCGTCGTCTGTCCGTCTGTCCGTCCGTCCGTCCGTCCGTCCGTCCGTCTGTCCGTCTGTCTGTCCGTCTGTCCGTCCGTCCGTCTGTCCGTCTGTCCGTCTGTCCGTCTGTCTGTCTGTCTGTCTGTCCGTCCGTCCGTCCGTCTGTCTGTCTGTCTGTCTGTCTGTCTGTCTGTCTGTCTGTCTGTCTGTCATACTAGACGTGTTCACTTGCCAGTTTTTACTAGACCCTATAGGGCATTTCGCACACATAGTACTGAGAATACGAGCAGTTGTAGTCAAATAAACCTACAGCGGAGTTTAGAATAGTTACACAGTCTTCAGCGCCTCGGTAATTGTTGGGCTCCCCAGGGGCAAACAGGCCATATTCTTCCTTGGTCAACACTTGCCCGTCCTCCTTCCAGATGAATCTGCCCTCGCTTTCTTTATCATCGCATCCAATCCAGCTATTTCTTACACCGGTGAGATTAAAGAGCATCAGCTTGTATTTCTCTAAAGTTTTCACGGAGATCAGGTAGGCGCCCTTACTCTGGCAGTCTGCATCTGCCTCCATGTAAGTTTTTGGTCCAAACAAAGCCAGACAGGCTGTAGTTTTCAGGTAAGATAACACACTGAAGTTTTTGGAGGCGTCACAATAGAAGCTTTGGAAAAAATCCCCCTCCTCAGAGCTCGGAAGCGGCTGCTTCTCGTTAATGTAGGCGCCAGGTGTGCAGAGTCCTGAGTGAGAGTTGAAGAGAAAACTGGTGCAGTTGTTGTATTTGGTCATGCAGGTTTTTCCGCAGGATTTCCAGGATTTGTCGATCCAAGGATTTCCCAGACGTACAGGACCCCGTCTGGGGGTTGGCTGTAAACTGAAATAACGTGATGACTGTCTTGCTGATGTCATCGTCGATAAGTTGGCGATAAGGAGTACGATTACTGCTGGATAAAATACATATGTGTTATTATTGCTAATTGCATCCGGTGTTGTTGGTGGTGGTGGTAGTAGTAATAGCATCATCAGTACTTTTTGTTTCATTTATTAGAAAAATAAAACAAAGTGTCTTTTACAGTTGTTCTATTAGAACTGCTATCAATAAACTGGTACCAGGAAGATGCGCGGGTACTGAGTGCCATTATGTGCCTCCAGAAGAAAGTCTTCATTGTTAGTAATCGTGGTGGTAGCAATTGTGGTGGAAGCAGTAATGGTGGTGGTAGTGGTGATGGCGGTAGTAGTGGTAGTCGAAGTGGTGTCTGTAGTAGTATTAGTGGTTATTGCAGTAGTACTGGAGGCTTTAGTGCTAGTGGTGATGGTAGTAGCTGTGGTGGTGGTAGTGGAAGTGGTGGCTATAGTACTAGTGGTGATGGTAGTGGTAGTGGTAGTGGGAGTGGTGTCTGTGGTAGTAGTGGTTAGGGCAGTAGTAGTGAAGGCTTTATTGTTAGTGGTTATAGTAGTAGTTGTGGTGGTTGTTGTTGTTGTTGTTATCGATCCAGCGGCGCATGAGCTTTCGCCCTTTGGCCCAATGCCATGTAGTGGAATTTGCATGTTTTCACAAGCTGTTCTTTTCCTCCGTACAAGGTGTTCCACTTGTCTGGTCTCGGAGGGAGTAGCGTTCTTCTTGTCTCACTGAGTTTTGGGCACTCAAAGAGATGGTGTTCAACAGTTTCGTAGGGGTAGTTACATAGCTGGCACTCTGGGGAGTGTTGTGGCTGTATTCTGTTTAGGTGTCCATTGAGTGGAGTATGTTGCGTTCTAAGTCTGAAGATGGTGGCCTGGTCCCTTCTTGTTAGATGGTTAATGCTGTCATTAGGATCAGGGCCAGACATATGTCTATAAACCTCTCTTCCAGTGTCTCCCATGGCCCATCTGTTCAACCAAGTCTCTTTGTTTATAGCTCTTATCGGTGTTTTTGCTGTCTGGAGGGTTGTCGCTGTAGGTGGTTGTTCTTGTGTTGCTCCTTTCTTTGCCAATCTGTCAGCTCTGTCATTACCTGGTGTGCCGGAGTGACCTGGAATCCACTGCATCACTATTCTGATGTTGTATGAGGTAATAAGCTGATCGGCATCCAGGATTATCTTGGCTATGTCAGTTCTGCAGCGTTCATTGCCCTCCAGAGCTTGAAGGGCAGACATTGAATCTGTGAAGATGACAATATTTTGGACCTTTGAGGGGTAAACATCCATTACAGTCTTTAGGTGGTATACTGCTGTTTCCAGTGCAATTATTTCAGCTTCATAGTTTGAACAGAATTCCCCGCATGCATCAAAAATCTCTTCAAAAGATCCATCGGGATAACCTATGTAGATTCCGTAACCTGCTTTAATGGTAGCTTTAAATGCTGATCCATCAGTATAGACATTTATCCATTCTTGGGGGTAAGAATCAACGGTCTTTAGTGATGAGTTCATAAGAGCGATTGGGTCGGACTGTTTGGTTTCCTCGCCTACCAATTTAGTTTGGACTTCTGGAGCTTTAAAGCGAGCATGTGGTGGTAGGTTTTTTGCAACATTCTGAATTCCTTGACGTCTTTCTGGGAGGTGGTATCTGTCCTGAATTTCATTAACACAGTGTAAAACCGATTTGTGCTTTATTCTTTGTTTGGATTCCCAGTTTTCTACAAGATGTCTATTAGGATGGTTACGATTTTTCCTAACGCATCTTTCATAAATTTCTAAAGTGGCTTTTTCTCTCCGCAACCCGAGGGGTTCCACATTTGTATGGATTTCACATGCAGCAGTTGGTGTAGACTGCATAGCTCCGCAGATTAATCGGAGGGCATTATTTTGTACTCTGTCAAGAGTCTCTAGGTTAGTTTTGGAACAAGTTGTAAGCAGTGAGTTGTTGTACTCTATCACAGAGCGAACATATCCTAGGTATAAGCCTCTCAGAGTTTCCTTGTCTGATCCCCATGATGTACCTGCAAGTCTCTTTAATAACTGTAACCGCCTCAATGCCTTATTCCTGATGTTTTCAATATGGTTCTTGAGGCTGAGCTGCGGGTCAAGTGTGACTCCAAGGTATGTGGGATGCTCTTCTTTCATCACTTGGTGTTTGTCTAACCTCAGGATAATATTCTTCCTTGCTACTTGGTGGCTTTTGGTAAAGATTGTGTAGACCGTCTTTGCACAGTTAATCTTGAGTTTCCATCTTTGGCAGTAATCATGCAGTCTTCTAAGGTCTCCATTCAGTCTTTGGGCTCCACTTTCCACATTTTCATGACTCTGCCATATTGCTAGGTCATCAGCGTACAAGGCTTTTTCGGCCTTGATTTGTTCTGGCAGGTCATTGATAAAGATTAGGAATAGTGTACAGCTCAATGATGAGCCTTGTGGCAAGCCCTCCTCCAAGACTTCTTTAGAAGAGATTGCGTTGTGCATCTTAGTCTGGATTGTTCTATCTATCAGGAAGTATTTCACCCAGTTATACAATCTGCCATGTATTCCTATGCTCATCATCTTCATCAGGAGACCTTTAGTTGTGGTGGAAGTGGTGCTGGCAGTGGTAGTGGTGATGGCGGTAGTAGTGGTACTGGAAGTGGTATCTGTAGTAGTAGTAGTGGTTATGGCATTAGTAATGGAGGCTTTAGTGCTAGTGGTAATGGTAATAGTTGTTGTGGTGGTAGTGGAAATGGTGGCCCTAGTAGTAGTGGTAATTGTAGAAGTAGTGGTAGTGGAAGTGGTGTCTGTAGTAGTAGTGGTTATGGCAGTAGTAGTGGAGGCTTTAGTGCTAGTGGTAATGGTAGTATTTGTGGTAGTGGTGGTGGTGGTAGTGGAAGTAGTGGCTGTTATAGTAGTGGTGATGGTGGTAGTAGTGGTGGCGGTAGTAGTGGCTTTAGTTGCAGTGGTGACGGTAGTAAATGGGGTTAACAGCAGGGAGCTATGAATCACATTAACGGATTCTGGGAAGATTTGATACTTCAGTGATCACTTGACACCACTGACCCTGCTGAAGTGGAAGCCTGACGACTTCCCACCCACATCCACGACAACCATTCGATAAAATAAAACTGGGGAGGAGGGGTTGGAGGGTCAAGGTGCCTGAAGCCCCAGGTTTAGGGGTCTGTGGTTGGTTCTATACTTAACTAGTTGACCCCGAGATAGAACCTTACCTGCAGTTATGATCTATACCTAATTAGCTGACCCAGGATAGGCCCAGTCCTTGAGATGGGGCTTACTTATTTAGTTGACCCCAGGATCGGTCAAGTCCTGGAGATGGGATTTTATTTGATTGGTTGACCCTAGGATCGACCGCTTCCTAGGGGTAGGAATTGTTCTTGATTAGCTGAACCCAGGATCGACCCAGTCCTGGAACTGGAAGCTGCCCTTGAGTAGTTGACTCTCCCGGTAGATCCAGTCTTATAAAATACACACTGAAATGTTCGGAGAGATATAATAACCAACGTGCCATTGATCACATAAAGCCATTTAGACGCATTTGGACAACGTAAAATGTATTTATCAGATTGTTAATAAGTAAAAGTGGCGCTCAGTCTGAAACCTTGGAAGTTATTTTATTTTTATCAACCAGGTGCCGTCTTCGGAATGAAAGTTGGCACCGCTCTCGTCCAGTTTGTACATTCCCAGACAGGTATTCGTCTGTCACATGATATTATCCCCCGTTGTATGGCTTTTTACCTTTCCATCTTGTGCATTACATCCTCTTCCACAGTATGGTATTTACAGGAGTGTCTTTCAATGTGACAGGCATATTTGATCTGCCCTGTTTGAAAACTTGTAAGTGACGTTCAACCCCACTAAGACCGAACAACGAGCCACCAACACCCAGTGACACAAAGAGTCACTGTTCGGATGAGAATCACCTGGGTACACGTTCCAGAAACCATGCTCAACCGTAGGGCTATACCAGCACTCCTAACAATAGCCAGGTTGGGTTTTGGAATTAAACAAACACACACAAAAACGCCTCATATTAGGGCGGAACTTTTTAAAACTTCTTTGATCACATCTTTTTATTCCTAGTCTTTTCTGAGTCTCAGTCTTTGATTGTTTGTGTTTCCAAGAAATTCTACCAATTCTTCTGTATGTCTGCCTTTCCAGAGACTAAACTAAAATTCTTCGTTGGTTTTTCTGTGGTCAGATGTTTGCGTTACGCTGTAGAGTTGAGTCTACACAGAATTTCATAATTCTTTTGTTTAATATTCTTAAAATATCTTTAAAGGTTACTAATTGTCTCTTGTTGTTGAAAATTAGGTTGGCCACACCTAATATCTTTCTGACTTTTCAATAAATTATATTTACATAAATAATTCAGTCTAATCAATTACCAAACTTTAAAAAAATGAGTCTAATCAATTATCACCACTTAATTATTTAGGTCTAATCAATGATCACCACTTAAATAATTGAGTGTAATCAATTATCACCACTTAAATAATTTAGTCTAATGAATGATCACCACTTAAAAAATTGAGTCTAATCAATGATCACCACTTAAATAATTGAGTGTAATCAATTATCACCACATAAATAATTTAGTCTAATCAATGACAACTTGAATAATTAAATCTAATCAATGTCAACAACTTAAATAATTAGGTATAATCAATGACAACAACTTAAATAATTAAGTCTAATCAATGATCACCCCTTAAATAATTAAGTCTTATCAATGATAAAAACTGAAAAAAATCTGTGCGTCTGATCAAGTGCAACCATTAATAAACTGAGTCTAATCAAATGTAACCACGTAAAGAATTGAAGCTAATCGAATATCACCAATTATATAATCGAATTTAATCAAAACAGAATTGAGCCTAATCAAGTGTA